GGGTGGAAGCAAAAGGATTCTTCCCTGTTGTTTAAAGTTGTCATGAGCTTTCTAGTAACAATGTGACATGTCCAAAGTCATCATGCCACCGAAATATCAGAGAGGTATTCACATCTTTGCATCCTGTGAAATGACTCTGGGCACAAGGAGGACTGGTGCTCATAGCCCACACAAGGACAAGGTGTGCAATTGTAGCAGGTCTAAGAAGCAGTGATGGTCTCAGATCAGTGAAAAGGCATGTGTTCAAATTCTGCAGAAGGTTTTATACCACACTGAGGTTTCCCTTACTGGTAGCAACATGGCAGCATTACTGTTTGTGGGTTGGCTTTGCACTGAGGAATGCGCTGGTAACAGAGGTGGAAGCTTGTGGCTGTCTCAAACAATACCAGACAGTTTTTACTTTCTTCCCAGTTTTATCCTTCGTTTCCAAGTGGCCTTGGTCCTGATTTGAACCACCAGCATTCCTGCTGTGACTCTGTGCCCCTCAGACATTGTCCAAGGTCACATGATTTCTCTAAATTTTGGACCTCCTGTTGTCCCCATCAGAGACTGGGAGAGTCAGACCACTGGTCTGACTTACTGCTGCCTTCCTTATATTCTATAGGGGCAGCTGGGAAAGGCAGAATTTCTTTTGTGCTAGGTGTTTTCAATCTATGGAGATTTTTGTTGACATTCTAACCAAAGGCATTTGTTTTTTCCCGAAAAAGCTATCTTTCCATTGTTGAGAAATCTAATGTATCAAACAAAAGGCTCCTCAGCTGAAAAATTCACTTTGAAAGGAGTCAGAGGTCACCAGTGTGCACAGGCAGTGCAATTTAGATGTCTTCTTCTCCTTGGAAACTCTAGGGGATAGAGGATATTGACTGGGTTCTCACTCAGCCAGCTTCTCTCACAGTACACCTCACCAACTCAGCCTGGGAGACACAGTCCCAAGCAGGCACCTCAGTTCAGAGAGGAAGATGGAAATGGAAGTCAGATGAGCTACATCCATTAAGGAATACTTGAGATCTAAAATATTTCAAATTTAGTTGAGAGTGTCCTGATTTTTCACCTGAAACAACCCCATTGTTCCTGCAGAAACATCCTGTACACTTACTTACCCTCTAGTCCTTTCACTGCAATGCACTTTTTGTCAGAAGCAAAGGACCTCTACCTAATCTGGCTTACCTTCTTGAGTAACTCCCTCCCTATATTTGAGGAGCTATACCACTGGCCTTTATCATATCTCCAAGTGGCACTACACATTCCATCCTGATCCTTTGCTCAGAAGCAAACCAGGGGCAAGGACTCACTTCTCTGTATTGCCCTCAGACAGAAGGATCCAAAACACTTAAGTAGACAGAGGGGCGATACTGGTGGCAACAATCTGCCTGCAGGAGAAGACTTTGTCTTAGTTTTAGGCACTAGATAGTACCAGCCTGCTTGAGCTTGAACTGGGGTGCAGCAGAGCTGTGTGTTGTTCCCCAACATGTGGACTCCTGCATGGTCAGAGAAATAGTCTCTACACAGCTAACAGTCTCTCATGCTTATCTGCAGGTTTTTTGTGCTGAAGGCTTCTATGGTGATTCTTATTCATGCTTACTGTTGGTGTGGCTTGTTATTTCTCTTCATCCATCACCTCGTGAAAAGGAAAGTCCACTGTTATCAGCACAAGATCTTCCCTTGACTCATGCAGGCTGTTCAGCACATGCATGACCTTCACTTCCCCATTAGCCTGCCCTACCTCAGTAGTCCTTCTACCATTATGTCTCTTTACTTTTTTTCTTGGCTTAATTGGGGTCTCTCCTCTGAAGGATGCTTGGGGAAGACTCACAAATTGTTTGCTTGACTGGTTCTTGAGAAGCAGTCCTAAAAATGACAGTGTCCTGAGCACTTAATCTTTTAGGGTTAAATTATTGTGGGGTTTGAGAGCTTTGGGGTGAGTCAGTGGAAAAAGCTGGCAGCTCTAGGAAGGCTAAGACTGACTCATAGCTCAGGAAGAGCCTGAGGAACTCCAAATGCAGCTGCAGTTTAGGTAGGGGAATGGAAGAAAAGGCATTTGCATGCAATTTTGTCCTATTGCTCCAGCAATGTGACCCCACCCTGTAGTGGAGAAAGATGTCTCACACTTAACAAATGGAAACGGTATCCTGTCAGTCCCTGATGCTCTGCCAGGTTCTCTGTCTAATGGGAGGAAATGTCCACGCCACAGCATCAGAAGCAGAAGTGAATCTATTTCAGTGCCATTCCTTCACCCACGGCTCCTCTGGGATTGTTCTCTCGTGTTTTATTTAACAGGCAGAGAGAGATGAAGAAAGGGGAAAGCAAATGAATACAGAGGGAGGCTTGTGCTTTAACTCACAAAGAATCAAAACTAAGCTGTGAGCACATATCCCCTGGGGGAGTTTGCATTTGATATCGTGTGTATTCAGGGAGAGGTGCTGACGTTCTCAGGAAGTAGGTGCACTGAAAGCACCTGAACTAACACTGCTCTCCTGTAGTGCTAAAATAGGCAGAAAAAGCAAAGGGAATAAAGGATTTCAGTTTTTTCTTAGAGTATTGGTCAAAGTCCTGGGTGTGCGGTCATGATTTTGGGTTTGTTTTTTTTTTTTACATTGTAAAGTAACATTTTATCCCTCATTTTCATTTCTGAATGCAACCAAAAGATGCATTCAAAAGGACTGTTCTAGTCCTTAGGATGTCATGAAAGTAGGTTTTTAATCTTTCAAGTAGAAAGCTTTGTTTGAAGGTCCTAAAAAATAATAAGGAAAAAAAACCCCACTGAATGAGATTTTAAAGAGGCCATGGAAAAATACATCCATCTAAGAAAGAAGAAAGTTTAGCCACTGTTTAGTAAAGGCAAATTTCAGAGCAGGCAAATTTGTCAGTTTGGTTTATGCTTGTCAGCACCCTATAGTGTCAAGAGCACTTGTGAAAGTTTGTGTAAGAACCAAGGTAACAAAAAAAAAAAAAAAAAAAAGAAAAAAAAGGGAAGTAGTCAAAGGGACAGAAATATTTGACTCAAGAATTTGCTGCAGATTTGTTACTTAGTCATGGCAACAGCAATAGTTTCTAGTTTGAGTTGCAGTGGTGATATCTGTATCAGTTGCCATCCAGCATTTTGAAACCCTCGTTCCTTTTGCAGTGGAAAGGGGTTTAACTCTTAGGTTAAGTGTGTTCATGTGGTAGCCTGCATATACTGTTGAGAACCTGAATTTTAGCAGTGCTGAAATCATAAGTGTCTGTCACTACAGTCAGAGTACAAGTCCTAAGAAGGCTGTGCTTTCTCCAAGATCATCACTGAGGGAAGCACTGTGACAAGAGAGGTCGCCGTGACCAGGCCATCCAGCCAAACCAAGCTCTAGAGCACGAGTTTGCCAAGACACCCCAAAGCAGACAAGCAAACCTGGCCCACATTCAGCAAGTCAGGGACTAACATCTCCAGAGAGTTCTCTGGGTGAAGGAAACCTTAGAGTAGACACAATTTGCTGAGGAGATGGGACTAGACACCAAACCTAATCTGTCTTACTAAAGAGTAGCCTTGTTGGGGTGGGAGCAGTGACCTAACAGAACTGGTTCCTTGAGATCCTAAATTCAAGGAATTCTTCCCGGTCCCCAGCTAACGCTGAAGTGGTCAAAGTGCCACTGATGGAGAAGCCCTGCCTACTCACTGTGGTTTGGGAAACTGTAACAAAGCAGTGCCAGGAACAGCTGCAGCCTTTTACAGGAATACACTCCCACTCATGGCCACAGTGAGAGGAAAGACAGTAGTGGAGTAGGTGGAGTCATCAAGTGAAAAAGACAAACGAATGGGACTGTACAAAGCCTTTTGTCACAGTTTGTGTGAAAGACATCATAAAGTATAAGTGTGTTGTTTCATGACAGTGTTGCCACACCCTGTAAAAATGGTGACAGCATCAGACCCTACCTGAGTCACATGGACCAAAATAACTTGACAGCTAACATTAATCACGTGCTTGATACTGCTCTTCAGTACCAGCACTTCTGAGGGAAAGAGCAGCACAGCCTGTCAAACTTTCTAGGAAGTTTACTGGCCACAGAATGGACTCAGTAAATGCTTCTGCCTGAAATATACTCCCTTGATTTGTGTGAATTGTCTGCACTCATTCTCACAGCTTAGATTTGTTCCTTGTATTTCACATTTTCAGGTGAAAAGCCATCAGTCTTGACAAACCATGTCATGCAAGCTTTCTAAAGCACATTCCCCTCTCTCTTTCTAATCACATGTTCATCAATGACAGGAAGTCTTAAAAAAAAGTAAAAGTTTGCAGGGTACAGAGGCAAAAATACCCAAAACAAACCAAAGAGGAATTTGCATTACAGGAGAACCCTACTGTATTAATAAAGTGACCCGCATGCCTCAAGTTTTAAAAGGGAAATAGGCAGTTTTCATTTCAAACCCGGGCATCTTCCCCAGCTCCAGAAAACCTCATGGCATTTCCATACTGTTCCCTTCACTTACAAGAGTGATCTGTGGAGTAGAGGCCGCCCCTCTGGCTCACTCTTCACAACTACTCAACAGCTGAGGCACCAAGGAGCCCACAGTCTCCCATTCCATACCATTTGTCTGTGACCCAGACCAGTTGGAAGAGGCTGAGACACCAGAGGAGAACAGGAAGAGAAAAATCTTTCCTGACCTCTGTAAATCCCATGGGCAAAACCTACTCTTCCTAGAATGTGTGCCTGGAGCATGGCATTTTTACTTTACATTAACACACGTCAATTTAAGCAACCTGTGTATATATTCAGGCTATTATCTACCCATGCTCTACATCTCCTCCCATATTGGCTCCTTAATCTGTGGGCTCTATTTAACTTCTTGAGCAGATTTTGTCAAAGTTTCTAGTGGCTTTTTTTTTTTTTTTTTTTGGTGATTCCACATTTCCAGAGTGAACCTAAGATCAGCCTGGGTTTTTGCATGTAAATAAATCTTATGGTAATGCTGTTCTTTGACTCAGTTCCTCCCTTCACATCCTCCCTCTGCTCTTGTTCTCCCTCAGAGCTCTCTGTGTCGGTGAGACCACCTTGAAGAGACCCAAGATGTTGGTGCTACTGGCCGGTATCTTTGTGGTCCACATCGCCACTGTCATCATGCTCTTTGTCTCCACCATTGCCAACGTAAGTAGGCTGCCCTGGACGAGGCATGGCTGTCACCTCCTGCAGACAGCCGGCCTTAGACACGGCTGGCAGGCAGATCGGGGGGTGGGTGCTCAGGTGAGGGTGAGGAACATCCACTCGCGGCCATGGGGAGAGAGGAAGCAGTGATGGGTGGCTCAGGGAGCAGGAAGGCAGCCAGGATGGCGCAGGAGGCAGCCTCTGTCTGTCACGTCCCTGGACCCCCGAGCCCGGAGCACCTCAACCCTTCATGGGGCTCAGCAGTGCCAGCCCTGGCGCAGCACTGTTCCCTCGGCCGGGGCCAGCCTCTTCCCACCCGGGGCATCCCACGCCGAGGGGCGCGGGGGGCCACGGGAGCTCTGTGCCGAGGGGGACCCCTGGTGGCGCTGCCCGGGCCCCCGCGCCCCCCGCCCGCCGTCGGGGCGCATCTTGGGGTCCCCTCGCACCCGCCTCGCACAGGAGGAGGGTCAGGATGACCTGGGAGATTTCTCCACGATGATTGGAACAGACCTCACGGTGTTTTGCCCAGACCAAATGACTCCTGGCACTGGAAGCCAGTGTCTCACCTTCCGGTGCCGACGTTTCTGGGCAGTTGGGCTACTCGGACTCGCTTCATGGTTTAGTCTGATGGAAGAGCAAAGAAGCTTTCCTGCCCCAAGACACAACCTCTGTTCTATCCTGTTTCAGGTTTGGATGGTGGGTTCTTCCAACTATGCAAGGATCTCAACAGGACTCTGGCTGCTGTGCAACAGGACCTGCACTGAGCTGCCAGTTAGCAGTGAAGATGAGGGTAAGTTACTGCCACATTTTCGTCGTGGTGAATCACAGGATGTTGATGAGCACTGCCAAGACCGAGTCCTGACCTTCTCCAATCCATTCTCTGTGTTTTGACAGCTTCCCTCAAAGCCGTGCAAGCCTTTATGATCCTCTCGATCATTTTCTCTGTTGTGGCGCTCGTCCTGTTCATTATCCAGCTGTTCACCCTGGAAAAAGGCAAACGTTTCTACATGACCGGAGCTGTCATGCTGGTTTGCTGTGAGTATGCACCTGCACACGGTGCCTTGGCTCCCCGGGTGTCCCACTGCCTCTGTGAACACAAGTAGCCACATATGGTCACCAGGGGAGGTTCTCAGCCAGTAAATGTTTCCAGTGGCCCAATTTTTGTTACAAAACAAAGCACCGGGAAATGGGAAAGTGTTGGGTTGGGATTTTTTTGGCTGTATATAATGAAAGTATTTCCAGATTTTCATTAGGAAATCCCAGTGGGTTTTGCAAAATACCTTTGAAAGACAACAAAAAGGATTCAAGTGTTTTGGGGAGCGGGGGAATAAGCAGTTAGCTACTGCACTTGGGATTCAATACGTAGCACCAAACTGTCGTCAGATCTTATTACTGATTTTCTCCTAACAAAGGTTTATTCCTCATGGCATCCACTAAACAAGCCCCAAGTGTCTTATGTCATCACAGCTGCAAAAGAAATCCTCCACAAATAAGCCTAATGGGCAGCAGCTCCTCTCTCATATGGCACAAGACGTGCATTACAATCTCAGGGGACAGCAGCACTTCAGAAGTCCTGCAGCAATGCTGGTTTCTGTGCGTTTTCCAACTCTCTTTTCCCTCTTCCTTCCCACAGGGATGTGCATTCTGATTGCAGTCTCCATTTACACAGCTCGGTTCACAAGCACAGTGGTGTTCGCCAGAAATCCTCACCATGGCTACTGCTTCATATTGGCCTGGATCTGCTTCTGCTTCAGTTTCATCATCGGCATCCTCTACCTTGTTCTTAGGAAAAAATAAGGCTGATGGGTGTCCAGGGGAGAGGGTTGGCTACTGGGAGTGGGGAAGAATTACTCTGCTGAAAGAACTGTTGGGCCAATAGACAAAAACAGCCACCATCATCACCATTGCCACTGCAGAAAAATCACTAACAAAGCTAGAATCCTCAGAAACTCCTTCACCAAAGAGAGGGAGAAACAACTCCTACTGATCTAGCACTTCTGGGGCTAGAAATATGCAAGTGACCCAGACAGCTCTTCTCCTTTTCTGCAAAGTTGTGCCATACCTTCACAAAGCTTCAAGCTCAGCAGTGATGATTAAAGGGCACCACATAAACAAGGGCTATATCTTTTTCTCTTCCTAGAGCCCTTCTCACTTACATTTGAGTGTGCCTTGTGGGTTGGGCAAGTGAGGATTATGACCCCTTTATTTGTCCATTGATACAAATGGGATGGGCCTTTTGTTACATTTTTTAATATATATAAATATATATATATGCACATAAGTGAACGCTAAAGATGTTAAATTGAGAAAAAAAAACAATAGAAATTGGATTAATTTTGTATTAAAATATCTACAAAAATAAGGCAGCAAATTTTTTTGCTGCTCTGTTTTCTATTTGATATTCCCATGATTGAATAAGATACAAGTAGGAATGGCAAATTACAGGCATGGATGATGGAGAGAGAGAGAGAGAGAATAGAGGTAAAGATATACAGAGGTTCTTAATTACAGAGGGTGCAGTTGCTCAGTGGTACACATGCAGGGAGGGAACCACCTGGATGTGTGTCTACACTAAAATAATCTTCTGTTCAACTCCAGAACATGGTAACAGCACTGCTACATCGCAGATCCTTACTGAGACAAGTCCTTATGTGTAGGCAGGGCTTTTTCCCACATCATCACCTGGTATATGATATTAATTGAGTGCCCCACCTTGTGACAAAGCTCATCTCAAAAGCAGATAATGGTTAGCAAAGGAAAGTTATTCCCTAATGAGAGATTAGGAGAGAGGAAGTAGGGCTTGTGAGTTTTGCTCCTTGCTGCACAACATTAGGCCAGCCACTTAACCTGGTGCTTTTCATCTGCCAAATCCTTCCATAAAACTAGCTACCTCCCAGGGTTGCTGAGGGATTCTGAGTCCACTCTGTAACACAAGGTCCCCATGTGAAAGGCTGGCATAGGAAAGTTAGGCACTGGTACTGCTGCAACCCACAAATTTCTGTTAGTTTGAAGAATCTCAGTCACAAGAGGCATTTGCAAGAGACGAGGTCAAAATTCCCTGTGACTCCATTCAGAGTTAAAAGGTAGAGAGTATAAAAACCAGATTGTGCATGGATGCTATTTACCTCTCTCTCTCTTTCTGTTACATTTTCTTCTTATGTAGACTTTATCAATTTGGTGGATATATTCTAGTACTGTATGTTGGTGTTTCATTAACAAAGGTTATTTCATATATAGTCATTGTAAATATTTTGAAATGCATATTTTTAACTTTGTGGGTATAAAAATAAAATCTGATTCCCTTTCTAATAAAGAGTTTTGCTCTGTTTTTTTTTTCCCCCCGTTATTGTTTCAGATATTTGTTAGGAGAAGTACTTGCTGTTCTTACTGAATCTCAGCCCAGCCCTTTCAGACAATGCAGAACTACCATGTTCTCTTGCATACCAGTAGATGAGATTTCCTGTTCTGGAGGGAAGGAGGAAGCAGAACAGCTCTCAGAGCTCCTGTTTCAGGCTGCCTGCAAGCTCAGGCAGACAGTGTGAGCAGTGGTATCACTCAGTCTCAGTGCCAGGCTTTGCCTCACACCCAGGAAAGCTGGAAACATACTTTCTCACCCTGGCAGAGTCTCATCTGTCCCAAAGCAAAATCACCAAGGTGTTTGCCTGGGTCTCACAAGTTGATGTAGCTGTTGCCTCTCCAGCATTGTCTGGCCAAACACCTCTGCAGTTCAAGAGCTTGAGCAAAGAGTCCAAAGCCCAGGACACTGGCAGATCTCAGAAAACTTGGGGCACGATCCTGTGAACTGTGAGGTAAGATGTAGCAAGAATCAGCTGTGTAGGAAATTTTTCTTTATCCATTAATCTACTGCAGGGAGAGCCAAGACATGCTAATTGAGGGTAGAACAGTGACATGAATCTTCAGGAGCTGAGGTTTTAACAGAGGGGGACCTCTTACAGCAGAGTGTGGGAAGGGCTCACAGTGTCATGGGTGGACACTCGTCTTGGTCTGCGGAGATTCCAGGAGTCACAGATTATAGAATACATTGAGTTGGAAGGAAGCAATCAGGATCTTCAAGTCCAACTCCTGGCCCTGCACAGGCCATTCCAAGAATCACCATGTGCCTGAGAGCATTGTCCAAATGCTTCTTGAACTCTGCAGGCTTGGTGCTATGGGCACTGCTTAGTCCTGTGGCCACTGATTCCTGCTGTTCCTCATGCTCCTGGCACTCCTAGAAGTGCAGGGTAACCAAAGACCACCTGGCCGCCATGGACAAGGCTAACACTGACAGGTGAGACATCAGCCACCCACTGAGGGGGGAGCACTGAGGGAAGTTAGCCAGAGAGCCTTGCAGGAGCACACCCACTGCTAGGCTGGTATCTGTGTCCTGTTCCTAGCACGGTGCAGATGTGACAATATGATACCTCACAGGATGACAAGGCAATGCCAGCCTCATTGGCATGACCAGGTCATGGGCAATGGTCTCCAACAGCATTTCTGTCACCACGAACTGTTATTGATAGCTTAGAAAGGATATGAAGGCTGCTGGACACTCTGGGTAGCTTGGTTTTCCTGAAAAAAATCACTTGGGCTACTAAAGGATCAGTACCCTAATGTACAGGTGGAAAACATCCCTGAGTCCTCTGGCATCTGACAAACCTATTTAACTGGTCCCTGAAGCAAAATTCATTCCAAATGAGACAGTCTTTGCTCCACACCGAGTGGCTCCCACCACCATCTTCTGAATCCTGTGACATTATGGCTACACAGACACGAATTTACATTTGGCACCACCAAGACAGAACACATCAAACAGAAAAGCAGATGCCAACAAATATGGATCGATTATAAAACATAAGGAAGCAGAAAAGGAGAGGATCACATAGCACTATTGGTTGTGTCATATGACAGATGTTTCCTCAAAAATAATCTTCAACACAGCCTGAGGTGACACTGACCCAATGCCACATAGACTGTGAGACACAAAGTCATGTCACTCCTGCAAGAGCCATTACAGGGATTTCAGGGACCAAGCTTCACAAGGCCCAGGTCCACAGCAGAGTCCTTGGACTTGGAAGAGAAGCCTTTGAAAGAGGAGAAAGAGGGAGGAGAAATTCCCATGCCTAAGGTTCAACTGCAGAGCAAAAGGATTCCCCCTTCCCTGGTTCTTTTCTGCAGGTCACTGCAAGAAGAAAGGTGTTTGACACAGACAAACAGCTGACTAATTCAGGGCATTCGACTACAGTAAATCAGCTGCAGAAAGCACTAAGAATGAGGGACAGCCAAAGGGGCAAGAGCTTTTTGGACAAGAGACTTTCTTGCTCTGATCAGAAAGTCACACTATGTAGGCTGGGAAGAAATAGTCCAATAATTGGTCACATTAAGGGGTTTCAAATTATCTCTACATATTCTTGGGGGTGTTGCAAAGCCACTGCAGACACCTTATGGGAGAGCCCTGCTCTGCAAATGGCAGAAGCCCAAACCAGCCAAGCAAAGTAAGTGACTCCTGGCCTGATCAAAGGGTGATGACAGCACTGTGAACACAAAGGCAGCAGCACCTGCTGCATTTACAGAATGTGGCTGACTGCCAGCTCACCCAAAGCAGAAGAATGGCTTGATTCCCTTGCAGCAAAGACGACAGAGAAAAACCAAACCACCACCAATAACAAAATACAAAAACCCGCAAAACAAACAAAACTAAATAAGAACCAAGTGTGCAAGGAATGAGGAGCTCATGGGAGGTATCAAAGATGAGACCAGGAGTGATGTAAAAAGCTACAGGTTGCTTCCAGCACTAGAATAACGCTTCACTGCTGGCATCCTGGGTGCAACTAACCCAAGGATCTTTTAACAGAGGAAAGCAAGGTGAAATCAGTGTGACATATTATCCCACTCAAAATATATCCAGTCCAGGGGGCAGACTAGAAATGAATTCTGTGGTTGTACTAGCTGTAATTAGAAGGCTGCCTAAACTTGTGATTATTTATATTTGCAGCTCTGCCTGCTCAGATAATAAGAACAGTCAGGGTACCAGTTGATTGTTGGAGGAACTGGGGAGGAATATTAATGGCAGACCCTCTGTTCCCACATTGCACAGTTGGTGAGGTGCATCACTGCAGGCAGCTCAGCTCTCCCAGCATTGTCAGCACCACAGTATTGAATTAGATACACTATGATCTGATGCATGATGACAAATCTCACGTTGCACAATTCACTCAAAGTACGTGGGTATGTGGTATAAATATACACCTTGTCATCTGTTACAGTGCTTAGGAAACCTGATTGCCTTTCTGCTCAGCCTAGCATGGAAGGCTGTAGCTGGCAGCCTTCCTACATTCCACCCCCTCTCAGGCTTCTCATGTGAACCAGGTTAGCCAGAGACCAGAGGGGTCAATCCATAGCAGATGCCTCAAGGCAAATACAGAAAGCATGCTCCTCAGCAGAGATTTATGAGAAGCCAAGATGCTTCGACTGATCTCTCAGGCTAATTTCAGTATCAGCGTTTGGATGACAGAACTGCATCTATCTAAGGGAAGAGGCAGTGCTGTGGAGCTCTGTCCTGTGAATATGGTAACTCTCATAACCTGGAGAATGTAACACAGTCAGAGGTGCTAAAGAAGGGGCTTAGGGGATGCTCCTGCCTCTGTCAACTTTCCAGATAAATGTATAGGTGAACAGAAGACTAGCTTTTGGAGTTCACAGATGGATGGGACTTTTTATGCAGAGTTTTATGGAGCGTCATAGATTATTTCTTTCTCTGGAAGCAATTCCCAGAATAAAAGGTTTGTTTAATTGATGTGCTCACTGCTGAACGTTTTGGACCTTGCTCTGATGATAACATGGAGCTGGAGTAGGTGAGTTGTAATTCAGTGAGTAAGAGCACTTCCTAGGTCTTTGGGAGGATGGGGGAATGTATGGTTGTGTGAGATAGGAGTATCAGCCAAATGAGGCACTGTCTTCTTATCAGAGCCCAGCAACCATAAATGGCAGGGCTGCTGAGCCAAGAGAGCAAAGGGTGCTGCTGTGGGCATGGCCCATGAGGGGTGGGGTCAGCATCCTGCAGAGGGGGCTGTGAGAGAGGCTTCCATGTGCTTCTCACACTGCAGCCACAACAGGTTTCCCTCATGCTCCTGGGGAATGCAGGGCTCCCTGGGAACTGCTGACAGCCCATCAGTCCTAGTGGTGTCCCTAAAAGCTGAGTCTCCTAAGCATTTTGGAGGTATATTTAGCAGCTCCCCCAGGACTGCATCCCAAGTTTTCACCATTTTCATTTACAGACTTGGAGAAGTAAAAGACAACCTCAACACAGCTT